CTGAAGCTAAATGTGGAGAATCTGGACTGCCAAGAGATAATTTAAACAGAAATAGATTATTGAGTAGAGTATAATAGATTCAATCTTTCACCAACCACAAATACAATGTTGAAAGAAAAATAAATAACACAATGCCTGATGTACAACAAAAAGAAAACTTACTTCACACAGCTCCCAGAACCTGCCGTATTGTTTTGACATCCACAAGTGCAGGTTGGGCAGTTGACGATGGTATCATTGTAGAAGGAAGAGAGGGAAACACAACAAGTGGGTGTCTTCTGAGCAAGGAATTGAGAATAGGTGCATGTAACATTCCAAGTCACTGACATAGGACAAGCAAGGACAGATTCAATCAAATGTTGTTAACTGATGTTGATCTCTTGTATTCATGCTTACATGCAATTATAGTTACAACTTTCAATTAGTCAGATACCATGTCAAATTTAAAAATGATGAATTCATGATTGTTCGACAACCAACGAATTCAATATTAAACTTCAATTCGATCTATAAAATCTGAGACAGAAATACCACAGTTCATGCTGTTAATAAAATTCACATGCTTTTTGACAAAATTAGAATTCTACATTGAGCCTAAAAATTTAATGTGCAAATTTTCGGTAAGTTTACTTACTCAAAGCTTGAGTTACTCTTCTTTTATCTCCAGATATAAATTTGGTTGACTTCACAATCTTTGCTGGACCACAAGTATATCCAGGTCCCGGTGCTTTAAGAGTGAAGTTTTTGGGGAGTTTGACAGTTTTGTTACTCGTTCCTGCAGCACCAACACTGACTTGAAATGAGCTTGCTGCATTGGCTGGGTCTTGGGCCCAGGAGTTTATCACTCCACCCTTGCAACAATTTGCAATCTGCTGATTGTAAGGAGTTCCTGGCAATAGATCCACAACGGTTGGATCTTTCTTGCAGCAATGTGGAGTATTTCCTTTGAACCTTGAACAGTCTCCCTGTTCCGTTGTTTGGGCTCCCATCATGCTCCAAATCACTTCTTTCTTTGCCCATGTCCAGCCCAGTGTCCAACCTGGAGCTTGAATATGGCGGTATTGCTGGAAGTTGTACATTGTAACAACAGCCTGCCACCAAATAGATAACCGTTTAGATCAGGGAATCAATAGGAAAGAAGGCAAGTGAGCTACCAAACACTAGAGACAAATTACTATTGGAATAAAATTATCAAATACATATTTTATTAGGGCCTTTCGAATATAAGGAGTTTCTATCTTATAGCATACACCCATAAACGCTAAAGCTAGTGCTACACAAACAAATGATGGAGGTACTCATAAAATCTTCTTGATACATTTTGCACAAATAAAAGATTCATAGTCTAGTATTTCCCAGTTTTTAACTATTACATTCGTAAAAAGCTTTCTCAGAAAAACCAAAGAAGTGCAAAACTTATATGAAACTTACAACATAGCCATCCGGAGTCCAGCTCATAACATCCCATTTGATGGTGATGTTCCCGTTGGGATCAAGTGCATCATAGGCTTCTGCAAAGAGATCCAATGAAAACGATGAAAATCGAAGTTCCTCAGATAACTTTCCAAGTCACAGTTGCCTCTCATTCTTCTAATTTCAATTAAAATCAGCAGTAATGATAATAATAACTATGGATACGATGCGCCAAAGATTCCATACTAAAGAACTCGTTGACTTCTCAGGATAATAAGAAGCATCGCCAAATTCTTCCTAGATTCCACCATTTTCCCACATCCATTCATTAGTTCTCAATGTAACAAAACGGAATACTCACCTCCACATTTCAAATCGATCAATCAAGAAAAAAAAAAAAAAACATAAAATCATGTAACTAAGAAGAGTTTAACAGTTGAAGTACACATGATCTCCAAATATTTCCAACTATGAGATAGCCAGGATAGATTAATGAAAACGGATGATAAAACCACGTCCATTACGCAAATCTGGAGCCATCAATAAGTAAGTCAGTTTGAGTTCACTGACCTGTCGAAGTGAAACTGAAGCATGAAAGTAGAAAGAGAAGCAAGATGCCAAAGCCAGTAAGTTCGGCGACGGATCCAGTGGAAGAGAAGAGCCGAGACCTCATTTTCCCGATGCAGACTGAGCTGCAGACGACGTTCTGCAAATGGCTCAAGATCTGCACAGGAAAGTAGCCGTGTCGTGTGGAGAGAGAGAGAGAGAGAGAGAGTGGGAAGTATTCCACAAGAGTGTAAGCTTTATAACGATGAATCGTGAGAAATGAAGAAAATGACTTTATTGGCCGACTCAGTTTCTGATAGAAATACTTCCCGCCGTTGATTGCACAAATTCCAATTCTACCCCTTTGAACATTTTAATTTACCGAAATTTCAATTCCCCTGGATTTTTTTTTTAATTATTATTTAATCTCTCACTTAAAAATATTATGCTTTTCTTTTTAATTTCTTTACTATTTTCACCTTTAAAAAAAAATTAAAAGAAATTATAAAAAATATAATAAAAATTAATTTAAAGTAAATTAAAAAAATAAATAAAATAAGAAGTGATTATACATAAAAAGAAAGTGGGTTTCCTTGTTTAGAAGATTGGAATAAATGCTGTGATTCTAAAAGGGGAAAGGAAAAGAAAAAGCTGAAGGCTTCTGATAGGGTGGTAAATAGAGGTTGAGGGAGGGGCAAATGGGTAATTTTAAGGAAGGAAAATGAGTCAATAAGTGAGAGGAGGAGACAGCTGGGTGGGAGGTGGGGGCTTAGTGGAGAAATCACAAATTTATTGTATTTAGTGTCGGTGGAGGTTGGAATTGTGAGCATTTTGTTTGATTTTTGCGTTTGTTGCATTATATTTTTAATGTCCATTTGATACATTTTAATATGCAATAATTAAGTTTGTATGAATGTTGATCAAATAATAATAATAATAACTTTTATGAATCGCTATCTAATCAAACTATATTTTAATTTTATTGGTTGGATTATTTATTTATTTTAATTTAATTTTATGTCTAATTTATTAGTTAAATTATGAGTTTAGAAAATTAAAAAATTAAAAATTATTAGATTATTGAATTTAAAAAAAAAAATTGACTTTTTATTCCAGGGTTGTATTGATTAAAAGGCTGAAAGAAGTTTAAGGAGTTATTAAATAATAAAAATTAATTCTTATAATTTATTAGACAGAAAATTTAAACTTATAATTTAACCTAATTTATTTTTTTTATTAATTCAATACTCTATAAAAAAAAAATGACGAGATGTTCGTTGAAAACATGTCTTAACCGATTTGTTTGTTCTTATAAACAAATACAAAGATATAAACAAATACAAAGATATAATAGCGTAAGAAGAGATGGTAAAGGTTGGAATATAAAAATTAAAATGCATATTTTGGTTGGTAGACCAATTTATATATTTATATATAGAAATATATATGATCATCTTTCTATTTCTCTCCATCTAATGACAAAATTCTCTTTAATTGATTATAAATTTAAATATAATTGAGATTTGGCCTGATGTGGGTTTCCTTTCTTTTTCCTTTTTATTTATATATATATATTTCCTGGTTCATTTAATTAGTGGAGACTATGATTTGCCGACACTCCTGTGGGCAATGTTTGAGAAATATGCTAGTTAGCAAATTTTATTTGATTATTATTGGATTTTTTTTATTATTATTATTTTTTTTTGTGTGAAATATATATAGCCTTATACCATACATCCTCATGCCTGACTGCACGTTACATCATAGCAGCACAAAAAGAAATGAAAGTAGAAACCCGATTGGGTGTTCTTGCACACCTAACATCCTGCAAGAAAATGCCTATGACTCGAAAACAAAGTAAGAGACTGAATTTGTAATGCGCTTGACAGACTCTTTCATTTGAACTTTCAAGACTCAAGTCAAGGTTTTAGCGGTTTAGAAAGATTGCAGGGCGTTGAATCCTAACTAAGAATCTCGAAAGGACTTTTGAAACTTACTTTACTACAACGGGGCGTTAGGTTGACAGGGTGCCCCGGTTCGAAGGCTTGAAGGACTGGTGAACAATATACGAATTCATTTTCCAAATCTGTTTCATCAAATAGTTCTATAAAAACTAATCCAAACGACATTTAGAATGCTCTGTTCGACTTTCTACAACTATGTCTACCATTATAAGGTAATGGGATTGACTCAAATGGCTAAAACAAAACAGATGGCATTGAAGCTTTGCAGTATAATCTATAGGCTAAAACAAACAAATTGGTTGGCCTATAAGTCAAAGTTGGCAACCTTCTGCGTCCAATTGCTTCCTCAAGGAGAAGCATTCTTAATAAAACGAGCTTAAATGCACAGTAAATCGCATCCCATTGAAGCAATTATCATCGAGAAATGAAGACATTCAAACAAGGTATGATATGCAGGGAATTTGATCTGAATGCCTCACTGCAGACAATACACATTATGTCAGTCTTTCCATGGTTATATCTGTAAAACAGCAATAGTCCGAGGGGTGGAGGACACAAGGCCAATCTTGTTCAACAAAAACATTATGAACCCATTTGTAGATCTCATATCCATTAAGAGGGATCCATTAAGAGGGAAACGAAAACTGTAAGGCTGACGGGAATACGTAACGGTCAAAGCAGACAATATCAGCTAGCAATAGACTTTGACGGTTACAAATGGTATCAAAGTCAGACACCGGGCGGTGTGCCAATGAGGACGCTGGCCCCCCAAGAGAGGTGGATTGTTAGATCCACCCCAATTGGAGAAGGGAACCAAATCAGTTGGAGAGGAGAACAAAACATTTCTGATAAGGGTGTGAAAACCTCTCACCGGTATACGTGTGAAGTTGACAATGACACATAACGGGCCAAATCAGATAATATCTACTACCCATGGCAAAGAGAAAATTTATAAATGAAGAACCAACTATGTTTCAAAAAGAACATGTTTATCAGTTTCAGTTTATCAAATATGAACAAGCAGTGCCCTTCATTTAACATTCCGTAGATAGATACTATGGCCAGAATAAGAGAAAATTAAAAACAATACAGTCTTCTTAAGTTAAAATTTCCTAAACAAACCTGGAACTTCGATCCACCAATGTCCAACATAATGGCATGGCATGTCAGAGCTGCCATTGCCCCCGCATTGTTTCAGCTCAGGGCTAAGACAAAGAAAAAACCTCTTATTTCTCTGCAGATCATATAATGAAGGGTTGGAGGGGCGGAGGCAAAAGAAAACAGAGGACATTATGAAAAAGAATTTATCAAGTTTCAGAACAAACATTATTATCATAATCAAAATGCTCTACGCATTGTTCTTTTTGGCTTCTTGACAAAACTCAATCGAATTTGCTTCAGTCGTCTCCTCTTCCTTGCCATTTTCTCTGGCAACGTCTCCCTCTTCTTCTCAACCTTCTTTACCTTTGGCTTCTTTGCATACCTTGGCTCAACCTGATAAGCTTTTGGAGTGACTGGAACTCCCCGTTTCTGAGCTTCATTAAAGAGTGAATTTGCTCGGTCCAGACGATTATGGGCACAGAGTTTCCCCATCAGTAGATCATATGTCTTAATGCCAGGCTCACACCCATCCTTCTTCATCTTCGCAAAAACAATCAGGGCATGATCAATCCTCTCGATCCCACACAAAATCTTCAGAAACTCATAATAAGCCTTCTTATCAAGTGCATCAGCATATCCCGCAGACCTCATCCTGTCAATCATTTCATCCCCTTCTCCCGTCCTGGCCGCTTGATACAAACTTTTGATCAAAATAAGGAACGTTTCAGCGTTAGGATGACATCCCCACTCCCCCATTCGATGAAACAAATTTAGTGCATCCGTAGTTTTCCTAATCTTGCACAGATTATTAATCAGTACATTGAAAGTTTCCACGTTTCTTGGAACCCCACGACAATCCATTTCCACCAGAATTTCCTCAGCCTCAGATTGAAGCTTAAATGGATCTTTTTTCCTACAAAGCTTGCAAACACAATCAAGCAGAGCATTGTAGGCCGTTGTCCCTAACTCAAACCCTCCCCTATACATCTCACCTGCCAGCCTTTTCGCTTCATCGAATTTCTCATCGACGCACCATCCTTTGATCAGAGCATCGCAAATTGCTTCGTCTGGGAAAAATTCGTGCGCTAAGTCTTTGACCATCTTCTCAGCATGGCTCGCGTAGCCGTTTTCACAAAGCTTCTCCACCACCATCCTAATCGACTCTTTATCCCTCTTAAATCCATAATTCTTCTCCATTGTCTCGAAAAATGATAACAACTTTGTGGGTCGTCCAGCACGAGCGAACCGATCAATAGTCGACCGCAGGGTTTTAGCCCCACTGATCCCTGAACCCTTCGCAAGAACTTCGTGAATCGAATTGAAATCCTTTCTACGACCAAAATAATCAACGAAATACGATATAGTCTCATCCGTGTGATGAAAATCAGGATTCGATATTAACCACTCGTTAAACCCTAACACAGTTCGACCAGCTTCCGAGGAGAGATTGAGCGTATTGAGAACTAACTCCGGATTCGGTTTAACATGCGAAAAGATAAGCTGAAGGCGCTTCGTAATGGGAAGAGGATCCAAATCGGGGTCTTTAAGAAGCTCGGCCGCAAGCGACTGCGATGATTGATCCACATCATTCTCACCGGACTCGGAAAAGAACGAATGAGAAAGCGAGAGTTGGGATAGATAAGAACACCCCAATGCCGGTCCTTGACGACGGAAATGGTGGAAAACAGAGGTCAAATCTCGACGTAAAACAACGCTCTTCGAAGCTTCATTCAAAGAACTTGAGGACGACGAGGCAGATAAATACGAAGATGATGAAAGAGACCGAATGAAAAACCTTCTGAGATGCAGATACGGTAATGGCGGCATCGTGAAGGACGATGAACTCTGAGAAGAGAAGAAAGATGGAACTCGCCTTAGGAAGAAGCTCGTTGGTGGGAGCTGGAGCAAGACGAAAACCTAAGGGACTGGCAAATGCTCAGTCATTGGGCTGGGCCGATGATTCATAATGGATAACAAATATTTGGGCTTTTATAAACATGTGCTTGCAGGATGGGCCCATTACAATTAATAGATATCCGGATGGTGTGAAACTACCATTTTGTCCTTGAATGAAAAATATTATTAAGAAAATTAATATTTTAAATTTAAAAAATGAAACCATTTAAATATTGGATTAAAATGGTATGTATATATATTGCTTTAATAAATCTCTATTTTTTTAATTAAAAATTAGTCAAATAATTATAAAATAAAAAATCATAATCAGATAATCGAGCCAAAAATAAATAATAATAATAATAAACCAACAAAAAAAAATCAAAGTAGTTAGAACCATTAGATAGGATTATTACTTCAATTAGGAGGTTTCAGTTGGATAAATTTCAGTGATTAAATAATAAATTATAATTCATTTGTTGACTCTATCATATTATGCATTTGGCATAAAAATGGATCCGTTCTCTGGGAACCTATATATATAATATATATATATATATATATATATATATATCAAAAGCGTCAAAATTTGAAGTTATTATTAACCCAGCGGAGGAAGGGAGGGAGATTCGTGGCCTTGTTTTAATTGCCCCAAAGAGCGAAGGTTTATATATATACATGAATGAGGTATAAGCGGGTCCTCCTCCTTCATCAAAATTGTCAAAATTTTTGAAGTTATTTTTGGAGCAGTGGAGATCCAAGGCCTTATTTTAATGGCCCCAAAGAGCGAAGGTTGAAAAAAATTTCAGGTTTCTGTTCTTCTATGATAATTTCGCATCATTTTCAAAGTTTTAACCAGAAGAAACTCAATAATTTCTTCAATATTCTCTCTTACATAACCACATTTTCTTCTATTCTATTACACATACATCGCCAAATATTTGCATGTATGGAGCTTCATAGCCTCACACCTGAAAATCCCACTTAATCATATCCCAGATGAAGGCCTTTATAATCCCCCTGCTTTCGTTTTTCCCGGCAAAGGGGATTTTCCCTCGCGTTTCTCTTGCTTAGCCCACTACTTGGTTTCTTTGTGGGGAAGGGTCTAGCCATGAGGTGGGAAAGGGTCCAGCCACTCTCTAGACAGGGCCAAGATGGAGCTCTGGGAGAGATGTCTGGGCCCGGTAAGCGGTGGGGTCTTAGTTGTAACGCCATTAACGATGGAAGGTATCTCTATGTTTTTGGGGGCTATGGCAAAGACAACTGCCAGACTAACCATGTGCACGTCTTTGACACTGGTACGAAGCTTTTCTTCTACTTTTCTCTTCTTTTTTTGTCGATCTTATGGGGATTCATGTCTGTAATGGGTTTTGGAATAAAGATCTGAAGGAAATTACATGTTCTTCATTTTGTTCTACCCCTTTTGATCAATTGATTGATTATGCGTTTGATTATGTTCATTGTATTGGAAGTGATGGGGTAAGTGGGTAACTTAGATTGCTGGTTTGCAGCAAAACAAACATGGAGTCAGCCTGTGATAAAAGGAAGCCCACCCACTCCAAGGGACAGTCATACCTGTACCACAATTGGTGACAATCTTTTTGTGTTTGGGGGTACTGATGGGGTGAGCCCTCTTAAGGATTTGCATATACTGGACACTTGTAAGTTAACTTTCTTCACTTTATCTCTGAGAATCAAAGGATCTGTTGTAGTTTTGAAATGCTTAATGTTGGAATGCAGCTATAAATGGTACTAAATGATTTGCATAATGCTTTGCTTCTAGCTTTGCATACATGGATTTGTCCAAGTTTAAGAGGCGAGGGGCCAGAGGCTCGAGAGGGTCATAGCGCAACGCTCGTTGGCAAACGATTGTTCGTGTTTGGTGGTTGTGGAAAATCTATCAGCAATAATGATGAAGTGTACTACAATGATCTCTACATATTGAATACAGGTAGACTAATGCAAATACCAATTTGTTTGGCTGGCTGGTAAAACGTGTTTGATTGGTTACCAATATTGATTTTCTCCTTGTATAAGGCTTGGGGGAAGCCTAGAGAAGACAATATCTGCTAGCGGTGGGATTGGTGGTGTTAAGCGTGTGCCAGCGAGGACGCTGGGTCCCCAAGTGGGTGGATTGTGAGATCCCACATTGGTTGGAGAGAGGAACGAAGCATTTCTTATAAGGGTATGGAAGCCTTTCCTGCTAATGGTGGGCTTGAGCCGTTACATCTTCTTTTTGCCTCAACCAAAAGAATATATTATGAAGTGCTTAAGCTTTTCTTTATGCACATTCGCTGCTGTACTATGATCTTAATTGCGATGTTTTTTCTATGTTTTTAGAGACATTTGTTTGGAAAGGAGCTACAACATCTGGGACTCCGCCATCTCCACGCGACAGCCATACTTGCTCATCCTGGAATAATAAAGTTATAGTGATCGGTGGCGAAGATGCGCACGACTATTATTTGTCAGACGTTCACATCCTTGACACAGGTCACCTTGATGTTCAGGAAATATATTCTGTATCTCATATATACAAACCTCCTGACAATCCTTTTGGTGTTTTATTATAGATACTCTAGTGTGGACAGAGTTGAACACTTCAGGACAATTATTAACGCCTCGTGCTGGTCATACAACCATCACTTTTGGAAAGAGATTGTTTGTTTTTGGGGGATTTACCGACGCTCAAAACCTATATAACGACCTCTATATGCTCGATATTGGTATGTCGTTAACTCCTCAATTGCTCCCCTAAAAGGAAAATGAGCTAATCTGTAATGCTATAATGTTGATCTTGATCATTTGGTTAAAATCTAGGTGTTGGTTTCTTTAAGCCTCTAATTTGTACTTTCATTTTGATTTACCGTCGATACTCGATATAGAAACCGGTGTATGGACGAAGATCACAACTACGGGTGATGGACCTTGTGCTAGATTTTCAGTGGCTGGAGAGTGTTTAGATCCTTACAAAGTTGGCGTGCTTGCTCTTTTAGGCGGTTGCAATAAGAGTCTCGAGGCTCTCGATGATATGTATTACTTGTTCACAGGTTTATACTCGTTATTTTCTTACTCGTTCACAGGCTCTCGATGATTCACGGGTCGTAAATAGTCTCTCTGTAATTTTGTTTTTCAGGACTTGCAAGGGAAAGTGAGAAGAAACCAGAGAAGTTGTCTTTGAGAAAGCAATTGAAGTTGAAATGTCAAGAACAGAATCCAAATGCTATTCATGGAAGAGCTGTGGTTCAAAATGGAATTAGTACTGATTTGTTCCCACCCATCCCTGTGCAAGCCTATGAGGTTCCATGTAAGTACCTTCTTAATATCCCATGTAAGTACCTATGAGGTAGCCATGATTGCTCGTGGCCCGTATAATTTCGGCCTGGCATAGCGAATAGATTGCGTAAATAGAACTTTTTAAGGTGATTACAGTGTTAATATTACCCCACAAACAAGAGAGGATGCTGATAGAATCAAAGAAACACTTGCCAAGAAAGAAACCCTTGAAGTCGAACATGAACGAGAGCCCTCGATCCCTGAAGACGAGATTAAAATCGTCCAAAACACAAAAATAAACTTTAATAGATAGTTATTAGTTATGGATTTGATGGGGGTATGATTCTGATTAAACTCTGGTGGCATGTTGTTGTCCTACAATGCAGACAAACATGATGTTCCTTTGAATCAATCTCAGCATCTTCAAGGAAAGAAAAGTTTTCGAGCCAAAGTTACGGAAACCATACCGAATGGATACATAATTGAAACCGTCATCGACGGGAGACCTCTGCGTGGAATATTGTTTTCCAACAGACCAATCCCTACTAACTTTGCTCATCATAGCACTAATAGGTCAGAATGATGGCTAAAACAGTTCGTTTTTATTCACGTTCGCTTGTCGATCTCTTCCTTCTGGGAGTATTATGGTTTAAACTCGAAATTCTGAAATCAGGAAGAGGACTTTTGGTGATATTGGCACAGTATCGAATGGCGATCACAGCATCAAGTCAAAGACTTCTCGATCGACCGAGGAAGATGAAGTAGATAATGGACACGAGGAGGGTAGTAATGTAAAGGCATCTACTGTGCACGAACCCGAGATGGCTGTCACTTCGACTATGCTCGTAACAGAGCCAGCATCATCAGCTGCTTCACTACCATCTACTAAGGTAACACCATCCTTTCTCGTTTCCTTTTCCTTTTCTTTTGTTCATTGTTAAGCTAATCGTACCCCGTTCTAAGAGAGGGACATTTGCGCGCGTTTCCATTTCGTTAATCGTACCCTGTTCTAAAAGAGGAAAATGAGCGACCGTAAACGATTAAAAAACGAAGCCCCAGTTGGCAGAAATACACGCAAGACTACAAATACCAAAGTTACTAGAAAGAGTACACCGAGTGAGCATAGTCGACCTAGAGGTCAGATGTTCAAATCTATCTACTCCACGCGTTGTTGAACTCACAAGTAGAGACAAAAAATTTTAAGGCTGACCTCCACCCCTCCGAAAAATCTATGATTCCGCTCAAACCATAGCCTCCCTAGAGAAGCTACTACTGTCTGGAATGACTTTCTAGGGGTTTAAAAAAGGATTTCTTTTCAATTTGCAGGTGAGTTTGAGTCCCCAATTTCCTCCTTTGAGTCTAAATAGTATTCCAATGCACGTTGCAATGGATATCGATGTTCAAATTTCTCGAGACACGAAAACAAGCGATGCCCTGGATTCCATGGCAGACATTCAGAAACAAAGTATTCCAGCACCAGCTTCAGACAAAACTATTTCCTTTTTTCCTGACCAAGGTATAAACAGTTCTAGATGTCGTGGTCTTTATGCCGCCTTGTCTTTCTAAACTACGAGCAGAAAATCGAAGTCGTTGTGAGTCCTGCCCCCTCGCCAGGCCTCGGAATGTATAGTTTGCTTATGTAATGTCGTGTCTAGAAATTGTCAGAATGTACTGACTGTCGATTTGTGTTTTTTTAATCAGATGACCGAAGACCAGCTGCTGCTTTCGGGGAGACGATTGA